GGAGACAGACCGGGGCATGCCCGGGGGGGCCCCCCGCCCCAGAGAAGAACCTCCGGGCCTTGCGGGCACGTTCTTACCTGGGCGTCTCGAAGGGCAACCGGCAAGCCCGTGTCCTCCATGTAGCCCTGCCCTCCGAAACTCTCCAGCCCCTCCGAAATGACGGCGACGGCCTGCCAAGCACAGAGCCCCCACCTCCAGTGTGAACCCAGCCGGAGAAGCGACATGCCTGGGGGGGCGGGGAAGGCTGAATTGGGCCGGGCCGACTCCCGGAGGCAGGTGCCTACGTGCCCTACGGGAACGGATCTAGGGCAGCTGTTCAAACCAGGGCCAGCCGGATACAAAGAGCTTCCAGGTGGCGCATCGACTCCTACATCCCCCAGACGGGCGAATCAACCCGCCTGCGGCTTCTCTTCTCCCCCGCCGTACCTGCTTTCCCGTGTAGAGCTTCGCGACCGGCATGAGCAGCCGGAGAAGATGCAGGTCCCGTTCGCTGGCCAGCTTGGTTTCCTCTAAGCCCAGCAGCCTGGCCGTCTCCATGAGCAAGAGAAAGGCCCCTCGGGTTTCCACCTGCAGGGAGAGACGCAGGAAGTGCTGTCGGGACGATCGCTCGGCGCACGCCCCCTCGCCAGTTGCGAAACCACGCTCCAGTGGGGGAGGAACGGTGCCGTTTCTTTAGGCTCCGGCAGATCCTAGCTCAGTGTTTCTTAAATTGTGTTCAGTGTGCAGCGGAGAACAATCGAATTCAAAATGGCCGCCCTTAAAGGGGCAGGCAACTTTTTTTTTTTTGGAGGGGGGCGCACCAAAAAAATCCTTGGTGTTGCTCCTAAAAAGAAATGATTGTTTGGCGTTTCTCAGTCTTAAAAAGTTGACGAAACACTGCCCGCACCCCGACCCCGTTCTCGGCTGTGCCCCGACCCCGTTCTCGGCTGTGCCCCGACCCCGTTCTCGGCTGTGCCCCGACAGCCTCCCACAACCATACGCAAGGTGTCCTGCCAAAGATTTGTGTGGAGTAGGCGGGGGATGGAAAGGAAACTTGCCCGACTTCCGGGCTGCTCCTGTGAGCGGCCGGACGGGAATTCAGCAGCGCGCTGAGCCGTCTGGGTCCGGACAGGAGCGAGGAAGCCTTACCTCCAGCCGGGCCAAGGTCTGCATGTGCAGGGGGTGGTCCTTGAGGAGTTTCCCAAAGGCGAGCCGCTTGCCGGCGTACTCCCTGGCCAGGCTGATCACCCTGGGGAGGAAAAGGCAGGCGAGGAAGAAGGATTAGCGGCTGTAACCGTTCCGTTCCCGTCCCCACCAAACCTGCCCCGTTCGAGCCAGGCTCAGATCGGCCCTGCCGAATAACCCCGCCCGGCCGCCACGGGACAAACACAAATCTCGACAGGGGCATGAGCTGTCGTGGGCGCTTCCTCAGATGAGCCGCAAAGGGGGCCCTAGAATCGGTAACCGCCTCTTTGCCGGTGCGCGTCACCTCCTCATGCCGGCCACCGCAGAGATGACGTTGTGCAGCCTCGTGATGGTCAGCATGTCGGCAATGGAAGCCACGCCCCGGCCCTCGGCAGAGATCTGAAAGCATCCAAGAACGGAGGCTAGCGTCACGCCCCACCCCGGGGAGCGGAGTGTGCGAAGGGGCTGGCAGAACCGGACGCCCCACGCCATCTCCGTCCCCCGTGTGCGCCCGTCAGCCCCGCCCCCAGGGTAAGGGAGAGCGGCCCGAGATGGCGGTGGGTTGTGTAGCGGGGAGCAGAGCTGCCTCGCAAGCAGCCGACCTGGGTTCAATTCCCACCCAATGCAGAGCAGGGATGTTAAATATCGGTTAACCGAATAGTCGAGGAACCTCATGAATACTTAGTGGTTAGTCGACTATTCGATAGTCCCCCGGGAATGGGGCCGTTCCGCAAAGAGCTGATACTCCCCCCGCGAAGAGCTGATATTCCCCCGCCCCCTCTGAAAGAGCCAGAGCCGCGGCGTCCCCTGCAGACTTCAAAATGTCCGCCTTAAAAGGGCAATGCCAGCACTGCTCTTAAAAGGGCAATTTTTTTTTTTTTTGCTTGACGAAATGTGGCAGCCAGGGTGTTTTGTTGTTGTTGAACAACTTTTCCCCCCCCCTTGGCTCTTTGTGCTGTATCCACCACTGCTTTGGCTCTTTGTCTGTAACAGGTTGGCCACCCCTGGACTACGCTATCACATCCCAAATGCAGGGCTGTGGTTTTTTTAAGGGTGTTACGAGGAGGAAGGAGAAAAATTCGGTTCTCCGAGGACAGGACAAGAAGCAACGGGCTTAAATTGCAGCAAGGGAGGTTTAGGTTGGACATTCAGAAAAACTTCCAAAGAATCAGGGTGGTGAAACACTGGAATAAGTTGCCGAGGGAGGTTGTAGAACCTCCATCCGTGGAAATATCGAAGAGCAGGTTGGATCGACATCGATCAGGATGGGAATTGGTCGTGCCGGCAGGGACGGGAACAGGACTCGGTGACCTCTTGAGGTCTCTCCCAGTTCTGGGAGATCTCCTGCGTACCCGGTGTGCCTTGCATCCGTCCAGCAGTAGTTCAGCTGTCGGCACCTGCCTCGTCCCCAGCTTCTCCTTGAGCCGTTGCACTTCAATGCCGTTCAGCTTCCCCTCCTGATCTCGGACCTCTAGGTAGAAGAGGGACAGGCCCCGGGAGCCCTAAGGGGGACACGGCGGAGAGACGCTGGAGACCCCTTTGATGCGGGCTGAATGGGGGACGTTTGGCTCCGGGGAAGAAAACTGTTTCTCTGCCACCTCCCCAGGCTCCAGGGGGAAACTGACCTCTTCCACACGCCCCTGAGCATCCACGATCCTTGCCAGGGTCAGCGACACGTCGGAGTCCGTGGCCGAGGTGAACCACTTGAAGCCGGAGAGGGAATACGTGCCATCGGGCTGCTCCCTGGCCACTGTTTCTGTGCCACTGGCTGCAAGGAAGGGACACACGAGATCTTGCTGAGGCTGGCAACGCGAGCTCGAGGCCAGTACTGAAGGAAGGGCTCGGAGGATCGGATTTATTACGGGCGAGTGTCAGACCGTCTAGGTGGGGTCAGGCACACGGTTTCCCTTGGTTTTAATCCGCCTCCCGGTTCTGCAAACAGCCCCCAAGTGTTGGACAGACGCTTTCGTCCCCGCGACACCTACCGACATCAGAGCCGCCTCTGCGTTCCGTCATCCACTGGCCAGACGTCCAGAACGTGCCGGGGTCCCGGGACGTCAGGCGGCCAAACGCGTCGGCCAGGAACCCGGAAATACCCAGAGACTGGGGAGAAGAGAGGAAACCGGCAGTTGGAGAGAGAGATCCAAGCAGGCCAGCTAGACTTTCGCTGACCACGTCAGCTGTTCTCTGAGGTAGCTGAGATCAGAGGCAGGACAACCCGCCAGGCTGGTACAGGACAAACGTAAGAACATCAGACCAACGGTCCATCCAGCCCCGTGTCCTGTCAGCCGACAGTGGCCAATACCAGATGCCCCAGAGGGAGGGATCACAACAGGTAATTCTCACACGATCCCTCTCCTGTTACCCATTTCCAGACACCATTCCTACCCGTCCTGTCTACTAGCCATTGCTGGACGTAACCTCTACGAATCTATCTAGCTCTTTTTTGAACTCTGGTCTTCACCACACCCTCCGGCGAGGAGTTCCACAGGTTGGCCGTGCGCAAGAAAAGCATCCTTTGGTTTGTTTGCTGCCTAGTCATTTCATTGAGTAACCGCCCTAGTTCTTACGTGATGGGAACAAGTCAGTAACTTTTCCGTATTCACTTTTTCCACTCCGGTCGTGAATATATAGACCTCGATCCTACCCCCCACCAGACCTCTATGATGTCAGGTGGTACGGAGAATCTTCTTGCCACGTAACTAGGTGGTGGGTCTTGCTTGTGTGTCCAGATTCGGGACTGGGAAACAGGTTTTTTCCCCACCTCTCTGTGCACCACCAGGGCATCTCCCCCCGAATCGATCCCAGCATCTCGGTGTCTCCCGGCCTCTCCCCGCGAGACACAATGTAGGGCTGAAACGCGTTCGTCTTGCCCAAGTCAAGTCTCGAGGGGACACAAAGGCCTTCACAAACAGCCGAGGCTCGCCCGGGCACCTGTCCCTGGTTGAGATGGGTTCAGGATATTGACAGAGTCCCTACCCTGGTCTCTGTGTCTGGTGAGTCCTGGAGTCCATCCACAACACACAGCGAACTGGAGGGATTTGCTTCCAGGGTAGATTCTCCCTTGCAAACCCAGCTCCTTGGCACGGGAACCTCGTCTACCGGCTTCTAGCACCCCCTTTGGCGCAAGGAAATGAAGAATCGGGAATTTGCGGCCTTGCGGCGAAAATGCCAGGAACGCCACGTCTGGGAAATATTTATTAGCATTCCAGTAACAGCTAGAGGCTTTGCTAGCAGAGCTGGTCAAAAGGACCATAGAGAAGTCCTCCAAGAGGCTAGAGAGGCTCTGGAGGACCAACTAATTGGGCCAGGAGGGACTATAAGACTAGCAACAACTCAGTTACAGCCCAGCCCCAGAAGGGAGAAGATCACGGGTAGGTGGGTGGTAGAATCCCACGGGTGGGATCCCACGTCCTCGCCACAACACCGTCCCGTCCGTCCGTGACCGCAGAGCCCTGCAATCCGACAGCCAGGGCCGGGGCGCGATTCGCCGCCTTCTCACCTCAATGACTTTAGCCGCTCCGTCCGTCATGGCGAGCGGGCAGGTGAAAAGGCCGGCGGAGGGGGCGTACAAGTACAGCTTCGCGACCTGGTGCACGCGGCTGCCAACGAAAGAAACCAGGATAGAACCTTTTTCCACCCAAGATCCCTTTTTAGATGTCACGATAAGCCAAGATCTACCAGGTGTCCGGTTTCCGCCCGGACAGTCCAATAATTACGTCTTCTGTCCGGTTTCTCGGATGGAAGGCTGCGTCTGGTTGGGGGAGCAATTTAAAGGCACAGTGACTTTTTTTTTTTTCCCTCAACAACTTTGGCTCCCTGGGGATTTTTTTTGCTCAACCAATTTTTTCCCCGCCTTGTTTGGGATTTTTTTTTGTGACTGTATCCGGCAACCCTAAACCTATCCCTTCCCCAAGACTCCACCCCTTCCCTGAGGCCCCGCCCTCTCCATCTCTTGCTACACTGCCGCTTTTTTCCGATCCTTCCGTCGGAAGAGGTTTTTCCCGTCTAGACTAGGCCAAATGTCGGAAAAACCCCTTCTTTCGGAAGGCCTCTTATTCCTCGTGGAACAAGGAATACAGGGGCTGCCGAAAGAGCATAGCGTTCTCCCTCGTGGAAAGCAGGAGTTATTTCAAAATAACCAGCCCCTTGTTTTGAAATAATGGGCTTGGTTGTGTGGACGCTCCGCTCGTAATTTCAGAATAAGGGGAGTTAATCCTATAACTCCATAGTGCAGACCAGAGCTTAGGGACTAATCACTTTATTAGGGCCTCAGCTTTCGTGGGTAAAACCCACTTTATCAGATGAATTGGAGTGGCAATGACAGAGGCAGGGCTATATCTATAAATATTAATAGAACACAAGAGGGGAACTAAGTACGAAGTGTACGAGGCCAGTTCAATCAGGGGGGACAAGATGAAAGGCAACACCACTGCATTTTCTTGCGCAAAAAGTGGAAAAGCGTCCGTGCCAATCTAGACGCTCTCTTCCGCAAATGCTTTTAACGGAAAAACTTTTCCGTTAAAAGCATTTGCGGAAAATCGTGCCAGTCTAGATGAAGCCTTGTGGTCTAGCCGGACCCTCATTGGGTTGAGACAGGAGGTGCAGGCTCTGGGATAGGAGTGAGGGATTTGGGCGTGGGAAGGGGTAGGAGGTGGAATCTGGATGAAGGAGGAGGTGGAGAAAGGGATGCTGGCTCGGGAAGGAGGATGCAGGCTGGGAAATGTTGGGGTTAGGAGGAGGGTTGGGGCTGTGAGGGTGCAGGCATTTGGGTTGGGGTGCGTGAGGGGCTCAGGGCAGGGCGCTGAGGAGTATGATGGGCCCAGGACACAGATTTGTTGTGGCGGAAGACGGGATGTGGGGGTGCAGGACTTTGAGGATGTGGGGCTCAGGATAGGGGGTTCCAGTGTATGATAGGCTCAGATGTGGGGGGTACAGGAGTGTGATGCTGCTGCGACCAGATGGGGGCTTCGCCCCAATTGTGGGCTTACTGGTTGGGCTTCATTTTTAAATAAAATACTATGCCAACCACAAAATGGATCAGCGTTGTCTTTATTTACGAGAGGGGCAGGGAACCGGGTTTGAATTAGGGGTCACTGACTTGCAGAAAAGTCCGCTGGGGCCACACAAGTGAGATGCAAAAAAAAACTACCCCTCCAAACCCCCAACGCCCCCCAAGCCTCACTAATGTGGCCCCAACTGGGCTGGTGGAGGCAGGGGACAGGGTGCTGGTGGGGGCAGGGGACAGGGTGCTGGTGGAGGCTGGGGTAGGGGACAGGGTGCTGGTGGAGGCTGGGGAAGGGGACAGGGTGCTGGTGGGGGCAGGGGACAGGGTGCTGGTGGAGGCTGGGGAAGGGGACAGGGTGCTGGTGGAGGCTGGGGTAGGGGACAGGGTGCTGGTGGAGGCTGGGGAAGGGGACAGGGTGCTGGTGGAGGCTGGGGAAGGGGACAGGGTGCTGGTGGGGGCAGGGGAACAGGGGGCTGGGGGATGCTGGGGTAGGGGGCAGGGGG